AAAAACCCAAACAGTCAAACAAAATAATAGTGAGAAAAAAAAAACATGATCAAGACTTCGTTTTCAATAGAAGTATTTGATACCTAATTTATTAGCCTGTATTTTAAACCAGAAATGTTGACAAGAAGACAACTTAGGTGAATTTAAAGGTATTTTCCATATTATCTCTTTATAAATGAAGGTCATGCCTAATTATTAATTTCACTCTGTATAATTAAGTAGGGTTGAACTCTTACACTGTTTGCTCACATACTGATCTTGTGCTGCCTGAGTTCAATCTCCCTCCAATTGTACTTTGCCCTTGTAGTTTCCCCCTCCCCTTTGAATGCCTGCCATGCAAGCTATAGATTGGTGTAGTCTGGTTTATAGACTGGTCTGTAGACTGGTCTATAGACTGGTCTATAGACTGGTCTGTAGACTGGTCTTTAGACTGGTCTGTAGACTGGTCTGTAGACTGGTCTGTAGACTGGTCTGTAGACTGGTCTGTAGACTGGTCTATAGACTGGTCTATAGACTGGTCTTTAGACTGGTCTTTAGACTGGTCAGTAGACTGGTCTGTAGACTGCTCCGTAGACTGGTCTGTAGACTGGTCTATAGACTGGTCTGTAGACTGGTGTGTAGACTGGTCTGTAGACTGGTCTATAGCCTTTTCTATAGGCTGGTCTGAAGACTGGTATCTAAACTGGTCCAAAAGAAAAGAAAATGCAACCTGGAGAGTAAATTTCTATCAATGGGAATACACTATACATTGTTTAGCAATCTCCTGATAGTCTGTGTTTCTTTTTTGCAGCAAAACAGTTGTCTTGTGCTTCAGATTATGTAGTTGATCTTGGCAAAGCATGTTCAGTTCACATACAAGAAAAGCCAAGGCAAAAAAACAATCGTTCTGCAGTTTGGAAGATCTATGCATTTATTAACATTCAGGCTTTAACATGTTTGTGTATGGAGCCTGATCTAAGATGGTGAGTTATTATACATGTATATTAATGTACTATAAACCCCTGGGGCTTATATTTTTCATAGGGCAGCACAGTGGCCTCATGGTTAATGTGCTCGTCTTGGGATCGAGTGGTCCGTGTTCGAGCCCTAGCTGGGGACATTGTGTTGTGTTCTTGGGCAAGACACTTTACTCTCACAGTGCCTCTCTCCACCCAGATTTATAAATGGGTGCTGGTAAATTTAATGCTGGGGGTAACCCTGTGGTGGACTAGCATCCGATCCAGGGGGTAGTAGAAATACTCCTAGTCACTTCATGCTACAGAAACTGGGATAAGCTCTGGCCTGGTGGGCCACTTTTCCTGTATGCAGACTTTACCTTACAATACCTTTTTGAAGGGCTTATTCTGAGGAGGAGCTTATATTTATTGGAGGGAAATTTGCATTTTAAAGTTGGCTGGACTTTTATTGGAGGAAACTGTGTACTGGTTTGAATCTGGCAGGTATATGGTAAAAAGCATATATTTTGAATTCTTGGTTCCGATTTGCCCCAAAGACATGTTTTCAGCTTTTCCAAGTTGTGAAGAGTTCTTGACCAAAATCCAAATTTTCAGTTCATATCTCTGAATTGTTCAGAAATAAAGTTTTTGGCTTGTAGTGGACCTATTGGAGTGTGGACTAGAAATTCATGATAGGTTAATACCTCTCAAATCCAGCACCCTCTGACATTTTTGTGTGGGATTTCCCACACTTTGTCAATGCCAGCGAAATTTATTTATTGATTTATTTGTTCATGAGAGCAAAGCATTTGTCACGTGGTTTCTACTTGGTGTGTAGACTGGGTTCCACCAGCAAAATGTTGAGTGTTTTTGTGCAGCGGCCATTAGTGTGATTACTCTAACTGAGTGTTGTTTTTTGGTGAGTTTTGACTTGTTCTTGAGATTTGGAGGGAGTCTTAGGCCTTAGGTCTTAGTGTTTTTAGACACTCGCTGCCGTATTTATTTTTGCGCAGTGGCTCTTTATATGGCACCCGTACGGCGACTTGTATTTGCTATTGGTACGGGAGTCAGAAGATTTCATTGAATTTCTCTGTAATTGCTGATTCTTCCTTATCCAAATTGATATATTCACCTTTAGGAAAAATAAGCGATTCCAATGAGTGCTGTTTCTTTGAGCCAGATTAATTTGGGTACTCTCTGCATACTTGGCGAACGACCCACTCGCAACACTTCAAATTTTTTCCGAGCTACAATGTTAATACTCACGCACATGTCACGCGATAAGAAGGGACCGTACAGCGACTGGTATCTGCTATTCATACAGGATTCCTCGAGTATAACTTAAAGTTACCATTAAATTTAAGAATCGCCAACCTGTTTTTGAATGTCATAGTTGAACACTTTCCTCAGACAATACCTGTCCAGTTATATTTTGGTGGAACAGTTTGCGTTACAAGATTCAGTGTG